TTACATGCCTCCATGACCAATCACGTGTCGTGATTTGCCTCGCGCACTGAATGCATGAAATTTGAGAACACGTACAAGTGTGGTGCTGGGGCACGTTTCCGTTTTGCACTGAACTTTATGGACTTATGTGTGCCACATTACCAGTGTGGTTACCAGCCTCTCAATCATCATTTGGTTGACATGACAAGTCTACTTCATCAAAGTACTTCAATGTCTCCTATACTCCTTTCTAGGTACACTTAATATTGCAATACATGATTAAGTTACTCTTGCAATAACCACCACGATAGATAATGAAACAATCCAGTGTCACTTAGCACTGCATGATTGCCACACCTTGGTATCTACATGTATATACATCAATATTACAACTTTCATACAATTATTGCAGGTCTCCTCTAACGTAAAAGTTGTGACGAAAAAGAAACGGCAATGTAGGCCAATCCAGCGATTGTAATTCAGTGGCAGACATTACTGAGGTGTTTACAGTGCATCCACGCATGCCAAACACATTCTTAAATTTGAAGCACACAGCAACGTGTATGTGCGTAGATCAACAATGTGTGGACGTGTTAGGAATGGTAGGAGCATTGCTTGCATGCTGAAGACTTATCCACCAGCAGGATACTAAAGCTCATTAATACCTTCAAGACGTCACTGCTGGATAAGACTTACATGTGTATGGTTTGCACACATGGCAGCATTCTCAATCAGTGCGCTGCATTTCTCCTGCTGGACAAAAACACCAGGACAGGCTCAACAAGGCATTTTTATTATCTCGGACAAAGTGCCACAATGACAATGCCATCTGCAGACTCTCTGAACACGGGCACAAAATGGCAAGTACACACTGACAAACTAGATCAAAGCCATCATTATGCCCAGGCTCAAATGTCTTCCTTCTCATATGATGATGCTGGGGCTTCTGTGCAGCGGTGTAGGCAGGGGTCTCTATGTAAGGGAGTGAGGGGGGGAGCCAGATGTTACCCATGCAGGGGGGAAGGGGTGCATAAGTCCCAGTAGTTTTTCATAATACTATTGTTTTCTGTTTTCAAAATTTCCAGGGGGGGGTGACTGGGGGTTACGATTTTTTGAAAGGGCGCGCACACTCCAGGTCCCTCAACAAACCCAGCAACACCACTGCGTTTGTTCACATTCAGATGAAAAATGGCTATGTTTACTCCATGCCACATGTGTACTAAAGTGAACAGAAGACTTTCCTGTCCTCAGTGGTGAGTCCTTGGTTCCCTTTTGTCCTCTGTTGTCAGAGGCTGTGCTTAGTCTATAGGAGAATGCCAGACAGTGGGGACAATGGGAAATT